TTATTCCGAAATATGCAACATTGTAGTAATATTGATATACGAGATATACATCTCATGTACATGCAAATTCTAGAAATACGTTTCAATTTTGAATTTCGAAATAAATGACAACGACTGAAATGACGAGAATTTTGTAATGTATAGTTTCCGTGATAATTTCATAATTTATATAGAATTTATATAGAAATTACAAATAATAAATATACACAATTTACAATATATTTACAAATATTCACTCCAAATCAACTGATTCTTTTAGATGAAATAAATATTCAGTCGAGTACTTGTAGTGTCTGCATTAAATCAGAAACTAAACGCACCGTAGTTATTATATATAGCGCTCTTTCTTTGTTTGCAATCATATTGTACGAATATTTTATCCACAATATATTGCCGTATATTTCATCCACGCAATAAAAAAACCGTATACACTGCAGACAAAGAATATTTATAATTTGAAAAGAAAGAATCCTTTTTTAAAAACGACCATGTGGCCCCTTTCAGTTTCAAAATGAGAAAATGCGTGAATGTGTGAAAAATATGAGAAGAGAATACTTTTCAAAGTTATATCTATTTCAAAGACAATTTGCATCCTTTATATATCATTGAATAAGTGCGAAATTTAATTATTACAGAGAAACAAAAACGAATAGGACATACGTTAGTATCAACACATCCGTTTTTATATTACTGTTGATGAGTCCGTTCTAATGATCAAAATTGTGTATTTGTAAACAAACTTATTTTTGCGTACGTTTACCTGTAAACAGATAATTAGTCTATCGTTTTTCATTAATCAGTGCAATGTGTATTGCAAAAAATTGAATCGTCGTACTGTAGATTAGAATTTGTAAACAAGATTCTTAATTAAACGCGTGATTTTTTCGTATTACAGTCGTGCTTAAGTAACCCACTATATTACACGTAAACATGTACAACATTTCACATCTCAATGAAGAATAACGCTGTATATCAAATAAATATATAAATATACGGAATATATTTTCATTTCTTTTCTTATAATTAATCAACATAATATTATTACTTTGTGAAAAAAAAACACAAACTGCTAAATTGAAAAGCTCCTAAACAAATTTAATTAAAATAAAAGAAATAATTACTTCAAGAAAATATTTCGTAAATTAACTACTCTGCGAAGTTGGTAAATAAAATAAATTTATGTTTAAAATCAGAATTCAATCCAGAATAACACAAATATGACATGAATAATACAAAGAAAGATTATAGATTAAAAAAAATTTTTTTTTAAGCATATTTTAATTTAACGACTTTAACTAATTTTTCAAGTGCATTAAAGAAAATTGTTTGTGATAAGAGATTAATTATATAAATTCGCTTTAATTATCCGTACGTATTAAATTTCTCATATAAATCTTTTAAATGAAGAAAGACACGCAAAGCGCCAGTAAAATAATGATAAAATTACGCTAGTTTCTATGGTTCTGTAATCCGAAAAAGAAAAATAGTTTGTTGAATTTTTTACGCGCTGAATCTTAATCCGCATGCAAAAAATTTTCTGGTATATCAGATTAAAAAAATGGGATTCAAATTCCTAAAAAAAATGCATTTTTGTAGCTATTTTTTAAAAAACTTGTAACTAATAAATTTGATATATTATAGACATCGAAAAGAATTAAAATTAAAGTTTGAGTATTTTGTATTTATAATAAAAGTGATATAATTATATTTTTAATGCAAGCATCATTAAATCTCAAACGTGTTTTATTTAAAGAGATTGCAAGGGCGTTCAATGCTGTCTGGGAAACTGTTGATTCTTTTTTCAACAAATAAAACGTTGATTCATAATGAAGTGATAAAATTTTATATTACATGGATTTGTCATAATTTTTCAGTAAAGTACAATGTAACAAGTTCTTCTATTATTATTATTTCTTACAATTTATTATTATTTCTTTTAACAATAATAGCTTAAACAAAGACAAAAACAATTTTTTGCAAACACATTTTAATCCCATTTATGAAATCCACACTTGACATTTTTCTATGTTCAACGATTTCGTAATGTGCTTGAATAGAGCAATCGTCCTCCTGTAATCGTTCACTGTACATGCCTAAAAATAAATCACGTAGAGGTACGATAATACCTGCGGTAAAAAAGTCAATATTTTTATATTTTCGAAGCACAATACTCGAGCTTTAATTTGAGCTCTTTTTAAAATCTCTACAATGTCGGATTTATTTTTTAATATAGCTTAAAATGCATTTTTGAGGAGCTTTAATACCATTTTTTCTTTAAAGACTAAAGCGATAGAACATTTTTATTTGCGGATTCGAATTGAGCGCGCAAAAAACTTGAATGAACTACTTCTCTTTTTCAAAACACTTAAAATATAGATATAGGCAATATTTACATTCATATATGTGAACATTTTTTTCCTCGTATGTACATATATTGAATATTTTATTGTGTGTGTGTGTGTGTGTGTGTGTGTGTGTGTGTGTGTGTGTGTGCGCGTGCAAAAACTATTTAATAATTAAAATAAATATAAAGCCACCTTTTTAAGTTAATGAATTTGTACACAAATAAAAAATAAAATAATTGCAACTTCTACGAATTTTTTAAATACTTGTTTTAATAAACAACTTTTTGACTTCATGTGTAAATACTATAACTTACATGTTCAAATTTTTAATTTATTTAAAACATTTTCTATTTTGACGCATTTTTTTCAGCAGTGAGTGGTGCATTTTCTGCACTGCAGAGTTTTATAAATATCTAGTACACTTGTGTGACAGGTCAGTCTTTAGGGACGGTACCATTCGCCCGGAAACTGGAAAGTAAAATTAATTAAATTGTTGCAATCTACAAATGCAAGTAGCTACTTCGCATAAGCAACTTCGACGCAAAGTTTTGAAACTTACTTATATATATGTACATACGAGAAAATGTGGTGGAATTTCATTCTACCAACAAAGATACTTTCGATAAAATGTCCCATTTATAAAATCGCTGTGCATCGATTTTAGCAATTTTTGTATAACAACAAAATATCAATTGCCAGTTACTCACAGAAAATAGAACATGATAAAATGAATAAGGTATAAAATGCTAACTCAACTTTTACATGAGAAACGCTTTTCCTCATTTTGTCCGCTGTAATCCGTTATAACTATAATATTTTTGTTATAACGTATAACTGACATATCATGAAAGCGAAAATCAATTTGCAAATGATATTAATGGATTAAAATGAGAAGGATTTAGCAAAGCTATAAAAGAATTATAATTGAAATAAAAGAATATTGACTGAAATATCAATTATGTTTAATGCTCGACCCTCTCATTATACAGAATTTAATATATTAAAGTCAATACATAATTTCAATATTGAGTTAAATTTTATTCTGTTATTTTAAAAGAAAATGAATAATCTATAAATTTCACTTTTAATTCAATGTCAAAGTTAAAAATTTAAATTAGGAAGAAAAACATCATTCACTTTAATTTTCATTAAAAAATCCATTTTGTACAAAACATCTGTGAATAGCCATATAATTCTAGAATTTTCTGCGTAAAAGTGATCCACCCTTTGATATCTATCATGCGCCCGTTCATGATTTACTTCCGTTATAAATCGTCCGTTATTTGTCATCTTCGATGCCGAATGGTTTTTCACCGAAACAACTCGTTGACAACTCGTGCGCGTTCTCGATTTACAGAATCAAATAATCCGAATTCGTGAAATGATTTATTATAATGCACGCATTCGACGCTCGTATATAATCGCGTTTTATTGTATTGCTGACTAAATCGAAATTTGGAATGTGTGAATGTGCATAAAAGCGCGTGGTTTTCACACGTCGGACAGCCGCATTGAATTGCAAATGCTTTTTTTTCTCATTTATTATTTTTTTTAAATCTCTTCGCCATTTCGCACCTACCTGAATCCTACTTGGATTTACTCGCGATAGTCGCGACTGGAACAATCTGCGATCGAATGTCATAAATTCTAACGTTAATTCAAATTCATCGATCATCATCATCATTCATCTTCATCCAGATAAATTATTTGTTTTGTTACGTTGGAAATCAATTAATTCTTATATTCTCATTCAATTTTCCGTACCACGTTGGATATATTAATTATTCATTATTTTCATAACAGAAGACAGTCACATTTTTTTAAGTAGAATATTTTTTTAATAGAATATAGGAACATTATTTTGAAAAAAAAAACGAATAAAATTCGAAGAAATTAATTTATCAGTACTATATTGACAAAATTTTCAGCACGAAATGTACGAAATATTGTTTGAGAAACACTGATCTACAGGAATTGCGATTCGCATTAGAGACATTGGATATGCGAACGGAATGTAAATATGGAAATTAATCTTCTGAAATGTACGCATATCGGAAACCGTAACCGCATTGAGGAAGCGGTCAACTCCTATAAAAGCCTGGAAGCCATTTTACGAAAATAATAGTCACTCGATAACCGTGAATCTATGTGTTCTTCGAGCTTGTATAACAAATGTGACTATTAACATAACATACTATCACTTAAATATGTAATTTCACGAATACATATTCTACGCCGATAAGAGCCGACTATTTTATTTTGCTTTCAATCGCATTTTAAATAAGAGAGAATAGATAAATGTTATGCCAAAATTGTGCTGCAAGTGAGACATTTAAATCACATTAATTCTCAGGCAATAAAATCACTAAAAGATAATATTAACATTATGTGTTTATGCTCCAGTTTTAGCATAAAATTATTGTTATAAGTTGTTCTTGCTTCTCGTGTAAATTTTGTATCTAAAAACAGTCATGTAAATACGTCGTCGCGTGTATAAAGACCGCCATTTTCATTTCTCAAAGTAATGCCTCAAACCGACTCTCAGTGTTGAGACGTATCTCACTGAAGATGTATTTCGCGACTGTTACTCCTTTCGCCGCCGCGAACAAAGTTGTAAGTGGCTCTTTCTCTCTGATGTCGTAACTTCTGACTTACCCTCCACGAAGAGGAAGTATCCCTCGGGATTGTTCGCCAGTATCCGAAGCGCCTTAATCGCCATCTCTGCTAGAGAAGGATCGCCGGTGTCGTTCGTGTTCCGGTCGACGTTGAAGTCCATGTGAGAATAGGCGAAGAGTCCTGCGGCGAAGAAAATAAGTCTTGGCAAGTAATCCGATCGTGTTACATGAAAACAAATTCGAAACCGTATGGACAAATGTGAGGAAATGTAAAAGATATAAAAACTGAAATATCACACAAAATATAAATAAATAAATATATAAAATATTAAGAACGAGAAAATAGAGAAAAGATCATTATACAATTGCAGAATTTGTAAAATCTATTATACAATGAATTATTTAAGAAAAATAAAAAGAAAAATACCTGACCATAATCATTTATAAAAATGAACCAAAATATGTATTTACATTATTTGTATTCTTCATTTATATTATTTATAGATTTATATTTTGTTATTTTGCCGTTTTGTTGCTCATTAATTCATGATGATTTATACTTTGTCCCTTATAATTTAAAATATCTATTAAAATTTATTTCGGATGTATATATACTTGTTTTGAATACGTTATCGTGCTTTTAACAAATTATTGTATAACATAAATAACATTAATTGATTATAACGCAACAATAATTCAAAATTTCAACTCTATTGATCAACAGTTAACTATCTTATTAGTTAGATACACACAGAGAAATTATCAATAGCAATCGATAGGCACATGTAATCTCATATTCCGAATGATGAATGTATAATAATTAATACACTGATTATACTGATACGAGAGTGACAATAGCGTGCAATTAATACAATACAATGGCTAATCGCATTACGCCCAAGTCTAAAGTACAAATGATCGATGAAATTATATTCTTGTAAGTCAAATCATATGCATTCTATGAATTTAAGGTTTATAATTTAACATGCATTTTCAGTGTAAATTTAATCATTAATAAACAATTATACAGCAAGCCGCTATTAGTAAAGCAAATATTGAACTGTTATTAAATTTTTCTATTTTAATGCGAGAATATTATGTCATGCGATAAAAAGTTTAAATTTATTTAATCACCAAATCTATTAATTAAATAAATAATGCAATAAAAATAAAAATCGAATAATGAACAAAAGAACACATAGATATTAAAAATATTAATAAATTTTTAATATATAATATAACACAATACAAAAGTTTAATTTTGCAATTAAATTTGCCAAATTTTCGGAATAAATATATATATTCGGAAAAAAATATTGCACTACAAACACATTGGAAAAAACAAGAGTTTATAAAATAAAAGCTTTCTCAGCTATTTTTGTATAGGATTCTACAACAACCAAATTAAAACAATTTTTTAATGATTTGAACAGGATATATAATAATATTGCATAATTAACTTAATGGCGAACGGAATTCAAAATAAGCTAATACAGCATATTCCAACATGATTAAATTCCAATGTGATTGACTAACCATGCATATATAATTTTATTAGGCTATTCTAAATCGATATTATATTATTTACATAATCAATTAGAGCAATCAAGATTAGTCAATAAACAACGTGATTTTTCAACAGAATAATGTAAATAATTATTAAGATAATTAATAACGTTCAAGTATTTATTTATAATAATAAAGAGAAAGTGTTTAAAATATTTTATAAGAATAACTCTTATAACATAACTCATTCAATAGTCTCCATTGCTTCAATCTAATAATAATTAATAATTGATAATAGATTTTTATATAATGTTATAATGTGTCATGGCCCACAAAACAGTAATTAAGAGATCAGAGCATCTCATAGAGATGCAAATATATTAAAACTTGTTATTACTTACCTAATAAACGATTTACTCTTCGTGTGTCCACCTTTTCAAACTGTTCCTTATTGGCGACGTATTTCGCGGCTATGTTTCTTTTACGATGATTCCTGGACCATTCTTCAATAAGATTTCTACCGTCCAATCGCCTGCCTTCTTTTTCCGGCTCTTCGGGGTCCAAAGTCACCTTCGGTACAAAATGACGTCTCCCACCACCAAGTATCACCTATATCGATTAATTAAGAAAAATAATGTAATATTATTATAATGTACAATTGTAATATATAATTTTTAATTTGATAAGAAGCGATCAAATTTAAGAGGTTAAATTTTTCCGGATTCATTGTTTTGTTTGATAGGATCTTCCATCGAATCGAGAGATTTGAATTTACCAGAAACGCCTCGATCCCTGATTCTATCTTCGTGATGAGACACGAAGAACCGACTTTAATGAGAAAGAAAGTTTCACCTCAACTTTTCCGGGAAGATGAGCACCAATAAAATTGCCCGCGGAGTTCCTTGCTTCGTTCAGACTTCGAAGCAAAGATTCTTTTTCAAAAATAGCACATCACAAATTATTCCAAAGGTAGGATCACTAATTAATCTTGTCGCGCTTAATTTGTCCATTAGAATGCGCTTTTTCTTTGTCACTTTTTTTCATATCTAAACGTTTAATTATGCAATATTTTATTTAAAATATAGAACGCGATATGCCTTTTCAGACTCCTTTATAATTAGACAATACTTTTAATTCCTTAGAAAAATATCTTTACTGTAAAAAGTTTAGAGATTTTTCTCTTACAAAAAATAATACTTTTAAATAGTTCAGGTTAGCAATCTATTCTCCGTTCGTTTCGCTAGTTTGATTGGGAGAAAAAGGGGCGGAACAAGAGCTACGTGATAAAAGACGTGAATAAACTGCGAAACATACGTTTTATGTCTACCGATACAAGATAGAAGGCGCAATAAAACGTGATAAAGGAGACGAACGAGTCCCCGATACGAATTTTATGTTCACTCGTATGCAAGAACGAATCATACTGTGAAAAACTTCTATACGTCATCTGACGAATGTAATCGTATCAGACAGGCATTACATTTTCGATTGTCGAACCTTTCAACTTTTCGCAGATCAGGCAATAGAACATCTAAACACTTTTTTCAATTTTCGCAATATGAGAATCGTATTCGTTTCGCACAAAATGCATTCATAAATAACTCTGTTTATTAATTTCACTTGCAAACATTTACATAAAATGTTATCATTTACAATTTGCGTGAAAAGCTCAATGTAAAAGTAATATCGGTCAAATCTTGTATTGTTTGAAATAATATAATATCGAGATACTTGCAATTGTTAAAAAATTTTGTAAAACGCTATATAGAAAGAACGGTTTTATTGAAATATTTCAAAATGTAGGATACAGACCTGTAAAAATAATTTTATCGGAATATAAAAATAATTACGCTCAAACTGGTAATAATAATTACTATGTAATTATTTTAATAATCTACAAAATTATTTTCAGATCTATGTATCTAATTAAATTTTTAAATAGATACCTCAACCAAATTTTTTTTTCAAATATAAGATAGTAGTATAATAATGTAATCTAAATTGCAATTGCAAGTACGACGCGTAGAATAAGAATAAGAATAAGAAAACGTGAGTAAGATGGAAATCACTGTTTTTCGAATATAGATGTTAACTAACTACATGGAGGAATATATTCATCGAACTTACATAAGGTACAAAAAATTATCGAATATTCTCCACACATGAACAGAAGGATATTATTACGTACAGTAATGTTACAGCCAGGCTCATCCTCAAGCAGCTGACGCGCAATGTCTTTGCAAGAGGTACGTGCAGCAGGTGGCACTTTGCCGTCGTCCTCCCAGTAACGGCTGGCCGCGTGTGCATAAAGAGCCGCTGGTGTCGCGTGTGTAACCCTGGTGGTTGTAACCAACCCCGTCGATTTGCCTGCGATCAAAAAAAAAAAAACCCTATTATTGTCTTTTCGCGGCGAATTTTTCTTTTTTCCTTCCTCTCGCCCTCTTCATCTTTTTGTACGATTTCTCTCTCTCTCTCTCTCTCTCTCTCTCTCTCTCTTCTCTTCTTGCTCTCTACCGGTAAAGTTTGCGACTTGTACGTGCTTTCGTAAATCACCCTTTCGGATCCTCGCAGTCGTTCGTATCCGCATCTGACTTTATCGCGTTTAAGCGGGCCAAGCGTGCACCGTCACCGACGTAGACCCGGAAGACAAATTCCCCGAGTAGTGACCCCCGAGGCGAATCAGTACGATTTATACTTCATTGGGGGCGAAGTGGATTTTAGAATGTCGAACTGAGCAGGGGATAGAGCCGTACGGGGATTATTACCGGCGAGGTCGGCCGATGTATTATTCAGGAAAACGTCGAATTGACTGTATCGTATTTTAACCACGATGCGGTTACACTAAATTACTTATTCTCAAGTGTAAATAAACGTTAATGACGATCTGAATTTTTCAAAATTTTGGGATTAATTTCTCTTTTAAAAAATACTTAATGTTCGGCGGTTGTGTGCGGATGTATTACATATAAAATGATTTCCAAATATATATCCAATATAACTTAAAATTGCCATAATATTCTCATTGTTTTCCCCCTACAATTAAAAATAAATCCTTTCAAAATCTAAATTCGCATTTACACAATATTTCAAATATATAGTTTTATTTTCAGAAAACAAGGATATAGCTAAATGTAATATTCAATATGGCAGATATTTTTTTAATCGTTCTTTTGACATTCACAAATATACTATTTTCATATTATATGTATAGTAATAATGTGATAATAACACTGGTTTACAAAATTTTGTACAAGAATATATAGACTGTTTCGACGTAGAATCTGTCATCAAAATATTTCTAACCAATAAGATTTAAGATTTTTTAAAAATAAATATAGAATGTTTTAAATTAAAACAAATCAAGTGTTGTCATTTAATTTTTGTTTTTCATATTATTTTAGATTGATTTTACGTACACGGAGAAAATTTTCTTTTAAAATTTACCCTAAAAATATGTAGTTGTGATACAATACAATATTTTAAAGATTTTTATCATGCACTTCAGTAAAATTGATCAAACTTATTTTATACTTTATTGTAGTTATATTAATGAATAAGAGATTTACATTAAAATTCTTTAAAATACAATGTTGTCCCACGACTATCATATTTTCAGGATAAACTCTAAAAAAATTCTCTCCGTGTATTAGAATCAGCAGTTACTATAGCATCTTGATAACTTTTTTCAATTGTCACCAAATCCTGGTAGAAATAATTTGCTCCGTCACTTGTCGCACTCAACTTATTTGAAAAAAAATGTTATATCTTAAAAATAACGTGCTAAATCTTAAAATTAATACGCTATATCTTAAAAATTTGATTTGATGCTACAGAAGTTTTCTGGCAGCAAATTCAAATTTAGTAGTCTAAATTAAGTTTATAAAAATGATTTTCTTTTCTTGTACTAAAAATTATTCAGAATTTATAAACTAGTGTAATTGATCTTTATTGATTAAAGTAGAGCAATGTTACGTTTGGAAGTCTGGCCACGATCAGAGAAATTACAAAGCGTCGCTGGACCCAGAGATCGTATGTTAATTACACACTCACAATAATCTTGCCAGCCGACGGAGGTTTCGTTTAACGTGAACGGGCTAAGGAATTAACTTGGCACGCAGAGCTTATGCTATGTGTGCAGTCCTCTACCAGGATCAGTAATTACAGGAGTGCAGATTGTAGCATAGGTAGCTCGATGTTAATCGACCCGAGTGTATCGATACATGGTTCTTCATTAAAGATCCGCCGAGGATCTCTTTGATCTCGATATTCCTATTCAAAATTATCAATGCGTGATCTCGTTTAATTCATCATGACTTTATTTGTCGGTTACACAAAAAAACGAAATTGTCAATGTCAATTTAAAAGTTAATATCAATTTTAGACTTGAAAAAAATATGCTGCAACATTACGAATAATTTGAAGAAGAACGAAATCAATTGCATTCCGCATAAAAATGAACTAATATAACACTCTAAAAGAATATCGCTGGATTTAATAGCTCTGGTGTGGATTAAATACCTATGGTGTCTATATAATTATCATTGTGTTGGTGTTAATATTAATCAACATGGTGTGTGGATTCAAATCTTTGATGTTTATATCAACATCATCATGGTATGGTTTTATTATAAAACCCACGGTGTAAATTTGAAACCCATAGTGTTAATCAACTTTCAAAATTATAAAAGTAATTACTATACAATTAACAATTATATTAAATAATATATAATTATATTAAATTATTATAGAACTGTTATAAAATTATAAGATAGGATGTTATAAAATTTTTAAAAGTATCAATTTTGAAAAGAAAAGAAGTGAATATTCCGGAAAGTAGATTTCCATTCGCAAAGAGCACCTATTATGAATTCCACACACAATTAAATTAAAAAAGGATTAAAATTGTAACATATAAAACTAATAAAAATTTGACGATTGTTAACAAGTTAAACGTATTATATATGCATTATACGTTAAGATCGTGATAAAACTTTTAAAGAGTTATCCGTCTTTCTTTTCACATTCTTGAAATAATTGGAAACCAGCCGCGCAAGTTTTGAGAACCTTGTTACAAAAACATTAAACTGATATTTAATTATATATCTTGTTTCGGAGATTAAATTATTTTGGCAAGCAGTAAAGGCTTCTAGCAACGGCGTGAGTGTACGATAGAACTTTGTTTCTTCGTTAACTTCAAGTGACTCTGCTTTAAGAGGAATTTAATTTGAGGCTTAGCTGTCGAGTTATCTGAAGTTTAAAATTAAAACATTGTAAAAACAGCTGGTGTACTGATCGAATTTTTGCAAGGAAAGTTCTCAAAATCGTTCTCGAATATTTATATTCAAGAAATGTGAAAACCCGAACAGCCCATTCTTAATCCTGCAAAATTGCGAAAAAATTCAGCCAACGCTATGGTCTCTTTTTTATACGTATCTATAAATTTCACCGAAAAGGAACGAAATGGCCTACATCAAGATGTTCCTGGGTCGGAGGTTTGCGAACGTAAATATTCCTGCGGGATCGTCCGCCGGATCCTCGGCGGTCGTACCCAATTCGTTCCCCGCTTTCCGATGGGCGAAACGATGGTGTGATTTCGTAGGTCGCGCACGACCCGCGATTCAAGATGATAATTCAAGGAGTTCCGGAGCACCGGATGTAACCGGTGGAATCCCGATTCGCCCCTCGAGATGCATGAAATGGACCGTAGTAAGTCGCGCCGCAGCTCGAAGACAGGAGGTCCTATTCCCGCAACTTATCCCTTTCGCAAGTGAAGTCGCTTTAATGCGCGAACTCCTTAGCAAATCGCGATATCGGCAAATGACATTTCGAATCTCTGGGTTTACATCTAACAGGATATAGACACTTCCACCGATCCGCTATGAAAACGGATATTGATCGGATAATACTTAATTTTATTTTAAAGTGTCGATACTTAATGGTATCGACATCACATACAGTTGCGAGAAGAGCACAAGCAATATCTCTATAGAAAATAGTAAATTGATAGAGAAAACATCATTATCATATATCGATATTTTCTCTATCAGTTTTGCTATAGGAAATTTCTTGTGTTTATCGTGATTGCAATATAATTATATTATAATTTTAATGTATTTATTTTCCTCTTTTGTATATTTATTTTATAAAACAAAAAATATAAATATGTCAAAATATAATCGTAGTCATGATAAACACAAAAAATATCTCTGTTACAGTAAACTCTACCATTTTACAATTTTCGCAATAGTTAACAATGATGATGATATTAATTACTAAAATTTATTGAATTGATCTTCAATAATTTTTTATTCAAATACTATCAACTTTACAGTTAAAGAATTATTGAAGACCAATTTTCAGCAATTAATATCTTGTTAACTATTATGAAAATTGCAAAATGATAAAGAATTTTTCTCCTCAGTTTAGTTCATCCTGCCTCTGTGCGAAAGATTTATCGTTACTTTTGGAACATTTTGTATATAATGAATATATATCACGAGATAAATAAAATAAAATGTATATAAAGGAAGAGAATATATATCAAAATTACGTTTTAATTCCATATTTCTTACACTCTCATCTATTCTAATTTCCTTCGTATTTTTTTCATTTCTTCAACGTTTATTTTATTATTCTACGTTTCTCGCCTTATTGCATGAGAACGACGATTAATCTTCGAGTGATAGATAACCGTACCGTTCGCTCTCAATTATCGCCTTTATTATCTTCACTATCTCGCGAACGTTTTTTCTGCACTCTCCTGTGTTTTCAATTCCCATACTTCTTCTCGTTCATTCGACGTCGAATTTCCATCGCTGCCGTGCATCACCTCACGTCGCAGCGTTACCCTAAAGAACGTGACAAACCGCCGACGAGAGGGCCAAAAAGCCGCGATGCGGCCGCGCGGAAAGCCAGGGGTGTCAACGGCAAACGGCGCGCGATTAATCAGCTGGGCCATTCATCTTAATGATCGCGCCAAAGCAAGCTCGTCCTTTCATGCCCGCGTGTACATACAACGCCGGTAGCGCGCGTGTCAGCAACGCGTACGCTCGCATACATATTGCCGGAGTTGCGCCGGCCGGTTCTGGCAACGTGTCAACTGCTCAAAAACACAATACATACAAACCGCTGTTTGTTACCGATACCAGCACGGAAACGATACGCGCGGTGGCCGAGTTTTGTCGCGATATATCACGATATCGCGCGTCTTAGTAAGAAAGAAATCCCCCAGTCTATTAAATCCTTGACACCGCGATGATATTACACCTTCGTGTAATTGACAAAAAGATTGTACTCTCGATTAATCACTTCTCACCTGTCAATAGCAGATTCGAGTTTGTTAATGGAAAAAGGTATCCAGTCGACACAAACTAAAATTAATATAACATCAATATTATTTTAACATTAAATAACATAAATGTAACTTAACATGGTGTTACGTATAACAATTACATTGTTGAATGCGAAGTTATAATATTTCACTCGCACAGCACACATCATTCCAGCAACATTGCTGCAACATTTGCAATGCCACTGCAATTTTACTGGAATGTTGCAATGTTGCTAGAAATGATCTGTGCTATATTGGAGCTGCAATAACATTGCAAGTGTGCAACATTTATATAACACATACCAGCACACATACTTATGTGCTTTACACAGGTGCAGTCTTAATGTGATTTTGATGTTTAAATTATCATATATATATATATATATATACAGGGTGTTTCTAAAATAGCCCATTAATCATACAGTGCTATTTTTAATTAAAAAAACTGAATCAAAAAAGCTTTTATCATTTTGCAATTTTCGTGATATTTTTTTGTTTCTTTTTTGTTTTTTTTTTTTTTTTAGTTACTCAATGTGAGCAAAATGTTTAAAATCGCGACGCGTAAGATAACTTTAAGGTATCTTTAAGAATTTTTCTTTAAGAAACATTTTCAAAATATTTCACAAAGAACACTAAAAGATATCTTAAAACTGTCTTATACATCGTGATTTTATCTGTTTATTCGACAATGTTTAAAAATTAATATCTCGTTAATTATTGCGAAAATTGCATAATGGTAGAGAACTTTTCGACTTAGTTTTTATTAAGAATAGCACTGTATGATTAGTGGGCGTTATTTCAGAAACAACCTGTATATATACATACATAATTATGATGTATCATATAATAATGATTTCTAATCATATCTGTACGTATTCGTGCACTTGATAGGATATTATCCTAGGACTTGTTAATAAATAAACGTTTTCTCTCTTTCTCTCTTTCTCTCTCACGTCAAATAACTAACGAGGTGCACGTCACTGAAACTCGTAATGCTCGCGTAGATACTGCGTAACGTATATTTCGGTGGTGTTTATTATTTATTCAACGCGCGTGAGATATTCACGAACATTTGCGCTCTGCCTCGCGTGAGCAAGAAATTACATCACAAACGGATTATACGCGGCCGCGCTTACTCGTTCGCGCGTCCGTTCTTTGCAGCGACCGGCCATCGCAAACAAACCGTAAGTGATTACTGATGACCGCGCAGGAACTCAGCAGAATATAATGTTACCGTCATCGCCAGCACGCCCACTCATAAACTTACAATTTGGCGGTAGAAGCAATTACAACCGGTATCACCGATAATTACTTCTGCAACAGACACCTAGCAACCTCTGCAACGATGTATATTATGTTATATATACATATATGATATATATGTATATATACGGCGACAGATTTGATTTAATTTTACAGCACCATTTTAGCAACGATATAATAAAACATTAATATATACATATATATATATATATATATATATATATATATCATTATGGTTCGTCTAGTAGATAATGCGCATAATTACAGCTTGTGGACACAATAATCAAGATTTCTATATCGATTGTCTTATCGTGACCATGTATTAAACAGCATTTTACATTCTTTAAATAAATATAGACATTTTACAATATTTAAAGCAAAAAACTTATTTTGATATTGTATTACTTTAATATATACTTTAATATATATTATTGTAATATATAATAGTAAATCTCATCTTGATAATATTTTCGTTTAAGTCGTACTCTTTTTTATCAATAATATTTAAAAATCACGAAAAATATAATTAATTATTCTCCAATTGGGTATTGCTTTTAATTAATTATCGTTTAATTAATTTTCAATTATCATCTTTAATCAATTATCATTTAATTAATTTTCTATTAGAAATATTAATTTCTATTAGAATAATTAATATTAAAAAATGCAAATTCTATTATCATTAAATATGTAGCATTCTTTATGATCTTCAAATTCAATTAGAAAAAAATTTCATTTTAAAATTTTTGTTTTTTAGTAAATATATTAGCATGTAACGCGCATATATGTACATACACGAAGCCATAAACACATCCAAGCTTCGAAATTGCAAGACAGTGAACGCGAAAGTTCGGTAGCCATAACGTCCAGAATATTCTCGTGTATACGGTGTGATTTAATAAACAGCACGTGAAATCTTCCATTAGGTGGAGTCGCTCTAGCTTGTGCAATTAGCGCCAGCCGTAAATTAGATATCGGCTTCCGGTCAAGCGCTGCGCCAAGAATACGATGTGCACCACATTTGCGGCATAGAACGCGCAAGCGCGAATTCAATTTATATGTGGGCATTTAATCGTGCGCCGTGTTTGGGCAGTTTAATCGTTTTAACGCCCGTCCCTGCTAAATTGGATATATGCGCAGATTAATTACGTTTGTTCATAATGACGAGATCGCTGGATCGTAAACGTCGCGCCATGAAATTCGGTAGAAAATGACGCTCTGATTAGAAAGATTATTAATCTGCCATGCATATATATATTACAATATATCATTCGTTATACTCTTCCTTTTATTTAACTATCTAGTTTTTTAAAATATAAAAAACATATTTTTACTTTTAAGTTATTTTTTAATAGTATGTGTTGGTATATCATTTCTAAACTAAAGCTTAAAGTAATAATAAGTTATTAATAACTGTCGAGAAATTAAAGAGAAAACATTTAAAAGAAATTTAATATTATAATGCATTAGCCATCTTTTAGATAATTATTCTTAAATCTGTCTATAAAAATGTATTATATTTAATAATTATTGGAGAAATTATGACTATCTTTTCCATATGATCGTAATACTCTACATATTTGAATAAACTATTTTAATTGCAAATGACTATAAAATAGTTTTGCAATTAAAATAGTTTATCCAATGTATGTGCACATATACAGGATGTCCCCAAATTCGAGGACAATATTATTATAATACTATTTGCAATTTTCGCAATAGTTGACAAAATGTTAATTATTAAATATCGCCGAATATTGGTTTTCAATAATTTTTTACTCAAGTATTATCAACTTTACAGAAAAACAGTAAGAGATAAAAATTGTTTATCTTCTTCTCATAGAGCTCTAAGAATTTTTTCAGAATTTTTTATTAACTTCTCAGTACTGCATTCTCTAATTGAAAAATTGCGAAAATTGCGAAAATTGCAAAATAGTAGGGGACTTTTCGACTTAATTTTTCACGAAATTTTACGCTGTAATAATATTGTCCTCGAATTTCGACACCATGTATATGCATTAATTCTACATCTAAAACTTATACAGTTATCATCCTCATAATTGCCATCGCTGTCTTTTTTGTAAGTTTATATCGACACGTGAAGACTTACCTTGATCCTGAGCCCAATTAATAAGCGAAGGAACGCGTGCTTCGAAACTAGAGTAACAGTCCTCGAAACGTGCCGATGAATCCAGACCAACAGTCTCGTAATTAGCTTTAACTCCGCAGAGCAATGCCGTCGCGCAGGCCGACGATTCGCCAACTTGGGCATCCATGTTGTACGTCTGGAGAAATAAGATAACAGAGATTAATTGCTTATTTTCGCGTAATAAAATTATGATTAATACAAATTTGTAATCCGAAAATTTGCTACTTCTATGAAGAAGAAAATATATTCTTCGGTCAATTAAGTTTCATATAAAACTAAATTAAGAACGGCCTAGAGTCGATTTATTTTATTTACGAATCTCCAATCAATTTTTCTCCGTAAATTTCTGCTAATATATGGTCCATAAAAATTAAATAAAATAGTTTTTATTTTTGTTCATATTTCCATAAAATTTAAATTATGAATATTCTACGAATTTCGATTGCCTACAATCGCAAAGAGAGAGAGAGAGAGAGAGAGAGAGAGAGAGAGAGAGAGAGAGAAGTAATTAAAAGATTTTATAATTAAAAAAATATATATATTTTGTCATTAAAATTCAGATGAATAATAATAATCCAGATCTGCTATGCAGTAACCATTTCATTGAAAAAAACCTCTTTCATATTAAATTTCCATAATATTTTGATAGTATTAACAAGAAAACTCAAAAAAATTAATTTAAATTTGTGCAAATTTCAATGCTACCAATTATTTAGAGTGTCACAATTTTAACATTTATTTATACAGTTAATATGACGCGGTCACACATGAAGTTCTGTAAATGTCAAAAGCATCATCGAAGGAATGATAAGTTTCGAGGAGAAATTTCGATGTAAGTGGATGTCGCCTTTATATGTCATGACTGGCGATTTTCGTTGGGTAACAGGATATCGGTCGAAGTGTGTCACTGCTGTCTAGGAACCGCACGTCGCTTTCAGCGCTCGAGGGTAAGCACTGCACCGAGCAAATGGACATTTTCGTCCATCGGCTCACTCGACTGAAACCTGCTCCGAGTTTTGATGAAAACGACAGCTTTGTTGTATTACCACCGACGATTCGCAATTAAAAATTCGCAAACGTGGTTTCATTCTGCAGAAATTAATAAAAATGACCGCTCAATGCATTCAGTCAATAGTTCAATAAGAATTTTAATCGAAATAAAACAACTGCCAAAAAATACAATTCGACAATTTCGCACCTTAAGGTAATTCTATCACCAATTATTTCCAGAAAATTATAGTAACATATATTTATTTTAATTAATAAATAAAGAAACGTCAAGATATTGATGTCTAATAATATTTTTACGTAAAAATACATTTACACATATTTTAAATACATTTTGCAATATTTAGCAGTTTAAAGTGGAAAATGTATTTAAAAATTGACATAGAAATGTTATTAGACTCCAAAATCTAGCCTTGACTGTTATTTAACATTTCTTTCCTTAATTTATTTATTTATAAAACGATCTAGTATAACTTATTATTTATACATGTTCGCCTTTCAACATTTCTTTACTTTTCAAACTTTTAACGAAGATTATTACAATTTTAAGATTATTATATTTTCCTTCGCTGTCACGAAGACCGATTACGAAACCTGAATAATGAACGACCCCTTCAAGTCAGGTTTAAAAGAGATCGACTAGTACAACGTGTAAGGTGGTGGCTGGAACAAACTCGTGCACATAAATCCCCACGATAATGTTAAAGGCGGCGCTTTCGCGTAAAATACCACCGATATCCGGCGGTTTTCTTATTATACGACTACGTTTAGGTATCCATTCGATGAATGATCTCCATATGATGTCGCGATTGATTCACTCGAATGTCCCTATTTCAAGACTCGGCGACTCAACACCACAACACCGACTGGGAAATGCCGATTTCCTTTCACGCAAGAACACTCATAAAGCAAACTCATCATACTGATTATCATACTGAAAGCCATGCATCGTCAAATATACCGTTATGGATTGCACGGTCGGTTGTTAAATGGAAGCAAAGTAGAACGCCTGGAGCACTGAAATGCAAGCCACAATAGTGAGGAGCCGCATGCCGATTAAACACGTCACAAACTCCGATATCCTCAGCATGAAATTGCGAGAAGAGATGACTTGGTTGTTGATATTGGTCAACTAGAATGAAAACTCAAAGTTTCACTTGCAATTCCACTTGCACTGTATAGCATGAAGAGAGACAAAAATTACAAGCCAAGATATTCTTTTTCTCTAAATACGATTAATTATTTAACATGTATTAAATTTTTCAATACGAAAATTGCTCATTCAAGATATTATTAAAAATTATTATTCTTATAGGAAAAGAAAATATAATAATATAGGGGTTGCCACATAAAGTATCATAATTCAGAATTAAAGTAATATAATAATGTCATGCTGTAATAATAATCATAGGAAATATTATCTTCCACAATTATTGAAAAAAGTTTAACTCATAACTGCAAGGATATTCTGATAATCCTTTTTTTCTAATTTTTAATATATTGATTGGAATGATGTGCAATAATTTGGAATAATTGGAATTTTATTCACAATTTTATTTTTCACAAGTTTGTTCTTTTATGTAGGCTAATTGTCGTATATATATTTACGCTAAGTTCAAATGTTGTAATTATTTATTAGTTAATAATTTTAAAACGTCTATAAAACTAAAAACAAAAAACTTTAAAGACTTTTAAGGACTTTTTATATGTTTTTTTTAACATCACAAAAATATGTGTTTCTATTACGGATTAAGACAGTGTTAATAATTTTGATTATTATATTTCAGGGATTATTTTTTGCCTGTCTACAACACATTAGTAAAAATTAATTTCTCATCCGATATTTACCCAACCAATCAATTGCAATTGCCATCTCAGTAAGACATGCCATGTCGGATATCAGAGAACATCCGAAATCCGTGTAACGCACAATGTGCAGCGATATGCAGACATTCGACCGTTCTCGATCGGCACGAAAGTGCTATAGATTATCAAGTATTATCGACGATGCTTTTATCAGGAGTTTCCTCGAACGAGCACATCGATAAGATAAATTTGGTGCGCACGAGACATGTCGTCTTTTGGCGTGTAGGTGAGAGCAAATGGCAATAAATGGATAAACGCAAATCGAGGGATCGTTAGATGGCAACCACCAGAGGCAACATGCAGGCGAACGACAAGTACACTCCGCAGCAGGAACAGTGGAACATTTCAACACCGGGCGGATCGCAACGGAGCGTGCCGGACGGATGGTCGTTCAGGAAGGCAAAGTAAGCACCACTTCGTCACGTCGTGACCGATATAAAGCCCAGAGATATGGAGGTACTGCAAATAATCGACATGCGACTGACGCGAATGGTGTGCTTTTCAGCGCTTTCTCCTCTTTCACTCGCTAAAGCAGATACAAACGTGTGTCAACTACTAACTTTACGATCTTTTATAATTTTTATTGTAAATCTCAGAAACTTTCAGTTCATGTTGCATTCGAGTGATGCATGAAACAAATAAAGTTGTTAATATATAGACATCATAATTTTATATTCTTTTTTATAACATTTATTCTCAATAGAAGTCATAAAAAGTGTCTAATGTCATACCAAAATATGTATAATTCATTTTGCACTTGCTTTATTTTCAACGTTTAACTCTTTATCTCTAACACAGAATTGGAAAGATAATTGTCTCTTTATCTGATTTTCCATCGCAGCACTGATAATAACGCAACAACAAGAAATAAAATTAACTATGGTCAAGTAAAACAAAATATTAACAAAACATTAAAATACATTAAAACTGTTTTTTTATTATTTGCTTTTGGTTGCTCTCATTTTATTTCCGATTGCAAATGTCCTTCACTATATTTCATCTTTCATTTAAATATTGCTGTATATTTATTACTCACATGTAATATATGTAACATATAGCGATATAAAATCGATAATATTAATTTTTTAGCTTTGGATTATTATTTTTCAAATAAAAATACTTCTATTTCGAGACTGCAATATTATTCTAAAGAAAATTTCATTCTCATGGCAATTCATCGTCGTTTTCTATAGCTACATCTTGAATCAATTTTAGAACGAAATCGTCTAAAATGGCACACCCTGATATCAATTACGACTACATGGAATCGAATTTTGCTCATAAAGTGCGACCGCGAGAATTACGACATTATCTTTCCTATTATTGCATTATTTTTTTTTTTATCAAGGCCCTCATGCACAGATGGGAGCATAGTGCTCCATCGCGCATTATGCGCTTATTCTCGCAGCCGCGCATAACGCATGGTTGGTGTAATTGTCGGATAGCGAAAAGGACGGGGATTTGCGCGGGCGGAAAGCCGCGGCGGACTAGATTTATATTCATAATAGCGGAGAGTTGGAGGCCGTTAGGCGCAAAATGTTTTAGAGCCCAAAGTAAACGCCGCAGTATTCGCAGTAATGCCGGTAACTCACTTCTCCCACGACGAACATTTGTCTCGTAATGGCCACTGGCTCACCACGTTTATGACTAGTTCGTAAGCGCCCCGCAGTGGTTTTGTCACATCCGTTCTGTGTTCTCCCTCTGCCTCCCTTCCCCCCCTCTCTCTCTTTCTCTTTCTCTCTCTCTCTCTCCCTCTCTCTCTCTCTCTCTCTCTCTCTCTCTGTGCCTGTCCCACCCTCTCTCTCATCCCTTATATATTTTGAGTGTTCTTGATGACTACGTGGTTGTGCATGTCATTTCCATATATTCAGCAATATATATCTCAAGTATACATCAACGTATCCATCCGCTGAGCAAGAATCACTCAAGCGATGACTCTTATGTTCTCTAATTCTACGATTTTTCAACCTCACCATAATTATATCAGTTGTTTTTGAAAAAAAAATGCAATTTTCAATACGTGCAAAGTTAATCCGATATTAAACAATATTAAATATAATAGATTTCCAAATGTATCCATACGTTACACTCATAAAAGAAGCGCTTAATTTTAAGATATTAAAACGTTTTATTCTTATGTCTCCATATTTTAAACACACACACACATACACACACATACACACGCACATATATATAGTTTGTTGTTTAGTTTTAAACTTTTTCAATAAATAAAACACTGTGTAGTGTTTAGATTTATAAAAC